CGAAGCGCAAACGAAAGGAAACGCGACTAAACGAACCAAGTGCACTTAACCATTAAACATTACCATTTAGAATCGAACAAGAGGAAGAACATAACAAAAAAAATGCTCGCATGTCTGCCTCCATTCCCATTCCCATTCCCTTGCGTATCCCTATTCCCATTCTGATTCCCCCACACCATGATATCGCATTATCAAAATAAAGAGAATAATCAACCTGCGATACTAGGAAATGAAGAGAAAGAGCCGAGTGCCAAGCGAAGGCAGCAGCAGGAGGAGGACGAGGATTACGAGGAGTATACGGGGGAGGGAGAATTGTAAAAAGTTGTTTTTAGTAATCATTGGAGAGCCCTTGTAAATGTTTTTCCATACTTAGCACGATATATGCATACATATACGATTTACGATATACATGTACGATTGACGATATACCGATATATGCCTTACGATATTTAGCCCCTAAGTTGTAGTTGCTTAGTTATTTTTCACTTTATGTGTGATGCTAATTGTTTAATTCTCTCTCTACGATCTAGCAAAGCTGTAAAAATTGATATTTAAATAATATATATGCACATATATATATTCTGTATTCCATTCTAGATCTAGAGCATTATGCTTAAGTCTTAGTTTGTAATAGCGAAAGAAACAATCAAAAATAAATATGAAATATACTAAAATACCAGTTGAGCTCTTCTTGCCGCATTCAGCGTGTTACAAATTGCTGTTGTGTTTGTGATTAATTTCCATTAACGTTTCGACAGCCCCGGGCGGCAACCACCAACCACCAGCACCACCAGCCAGCAACCACAAGGACTGCAAGTTTACAGACATCGACGAAGAGCTGGAAATGGATTGCCGGCAGAACGCCTTCATTATTATTATTTTTGCAGTTGTTTTGCTTGCATGCCCTTACAATGGGTATTATAATTATGTCACGCAATGTGTTACACATAAAGGCAGCCCTTGGCATGCCGATAAGCTATCTCCATCTCCTGCTCCATCTCAATCTTGATCTCAATCTTAATCTTAATCGTGGGTATGAACTGTGTGGTTATTTATTTTCGCTTCAAGCACTCTACATATATCAGATGGATGGGATCATGCCTTGTATATCAAGCAGGGCTCATGGATTTAATCGCTTTATCACTTGGCTACCTAAAGTAAAATATTGGTGATATTTTAAAATAATTTACATACAGTAAAATAGAGTATAGAAACTTCTGCCTTTGTGGCAGGCAAATGCAAAAGTGGCAGCCACGCCCATGTCCGAGTGCGAACATGTTGTAGGTGGCAGAAACGTAGCTGAACTCTTGAACTGGCATGCCACATACGCAGCAGCCGCCGACTCACCAAGCAGCCTTCTCCACACTCCAGCTTGTTGTCGCGCTCTGCAATCTGAGTCAACGATAGGCGGAGGCCGCCTTGTTGAAGCAGTTGCTGCCGCTGCTGCTGCTGCAGTTACCGCAAATTCTAGACGTGCCGCAGCCGAAACGAAGAAGGGCCAACTGGCTGATGAAGGGAAACAGCAGATTGAAAGGCAGCAGCAGCAGGACGGGCAGCAGCAGGAGCAGGAGCAGCAGCCGTCCGAGCGACGTCGCACTTTGTCTTCATTTCAAAGCCGCTGCATGAACTCATTTATTTGTTTCTGATTTCTGGCCACTAACACACCTCTCCCAGCGCCGGCCCCCTCGCATGTCAGCTCCCCCTTAGGCCCTGTCGTCATTATCATTATTCTGCTGCACACTCCTTTTGACCAGTTGAGTTATTTCCATTTGCCAGTTTCGACTTTTCGACTGGATTTCGTGCGGCGGCTCCTGCTCCTGCTGCTGCTCCTTCCAACTATTGGTATCAATTGCAGTGGATCTTGTTTTTGGTTCTTTTTTCGTTTTGTTTGTTATTTTCGCTATAGTCACATGGCGTTCCACTCCCGACTGGGTTATTATTATAAGTTTGCGCGTCAATTCATATTACTTGTAATGCAAACAACTGAAAAACTAGCATCTTTAGCTGGAGGATCAGCTGCAACAGCAACAGCAACAGCAACGCTGATGATGATTATGGGTTGCTCTCTCGCCTAGGTATTCATTTTGGGCCACGCAGCATTGCTTTTGTTTTTGGGGTGTGTACGGCAGACAGCAACGCGACGGCGGAAAGTGAACAGCCTTAATTTGTTATAGGCCAAAGACAACAACAACAACAACATCAACAGGCCCGTTGGGTTTATTTTTAAAGCCATTTAAGTGGTTGTATGGCTCTGTGCGGCGAGGCTGGCCGTGTTTGGCCTGTCTCGACTTTAAGCACGTACACGTACACGTACTAGCCGGGCCTTTACATTGTTCTACGCGTCGGACGGACGCATGGACATTTTTCACTTGGCCTGTCAAATCGGGACATCGACAGCTTTTAAACAGGGCAGCGCCACCACGCCACGCCACACCACTGACAGTCGCATGCCAGGCCATGCCCCACTCTCGGCTCTAGGCAGTGCGGCATTGGGCTCCACTGCGCTGCTCAGCAAAGCCAAGCGGGTATATTAAGGGGCAATGTCTCGATTATGGAGCAATTACATAGATTTCAGAGGAAGTTAAATGAATCAAGCTTTATGTTGGTCATAACTATTTGATAATCCCTGGGATATTCGACTGTATACATGATATTTAATATTCACATTCTGTACTTCATCCGTATCAATCTTCGGATGCAGATGCTCTACATATAATTGAAATTGTAATATCTTCCATCTATCTCAATCTAAACAGAGCATCTCACAGCCGAAAAAGCTCTGCTTCAGCATTTTTCACAGTAAGCCAAGGGAGACTTGGAGCTCGAAGCAGGACCAGTTGGTAAGCCTGCGCTCTGTTCCTCCGCCTGCGATTTCGCCCAGCTGATTGCAAAATAAGTGATTTGCGAGTCGTCGCTGCCGCTGACGCTGCTGCTGCTGCTCTGCTGCTGCAGCTGCTGCGTGATAAGATGCAATCAGTCGCATTGCAGATGTAGCTCGGCTGATTATGCCTTATGCCTTTATAATTTGTCAATGCATCAAGCGCACAATAAAGCGATTACGCTTACGATTAAGTTGGGGATTACGATGACGCTTACGATTGCCCATTGCAAATCAGTGAGCAGAGCTAAGCCTTCAAATCTGCATCCTGCACTGCTCCGCCATGCTGCCGAATTCCTGACGATAGCCGGCGGCGACGACTGCGCTTCAACATGAAATACAATAATAATTTTATTTTAACTCAAATGATCGGCTGATGAGAAAATTAAAGCCGCCATCAACTGGAGGCAGAAGCCTAAGCTCAGGCTCGACTTGCGACTGCGATTGCGACTGCGAATGCGAATGCGACGGCGGCTTAATAACAATTCCATTAGCGGCTAATGTCTTCATTGCAAGTGTCAGTTATGGGGGCGATCCTTGCCCCTGACGCTAAACCGACTGGGTCCAGCCGAGCTGCCGTCCACCGTCTACGTGGCATTGACTACCTCTGCCTCTGCCTCGGCAGCCATCAGCAGCTTGGACTTTTGCTTAGCTCACGGCTTGGCCACATTCAGAATTATGGCTTGCAGCAGAGTCTGCAGAGTCTCTCGGCTGCATCTCTATCTGCGTCTGTTCGTCTCGCATGTCAGTTTAACACTTTGGCAAATCCTTTGAAGTTGTGGCTGAGTTGATGCGCAGTTTTTATTGTAGCGCACGCTTGATTATTGTCCAAAATTTATTGCAATGCGCACACTAATAAGCTCGTTTCCCACTCCACACACACACACACAGAGAGACACACACACCCCTTGGCATTAGCATTCAAGTGGACAACAAATGCGAAAATAATTGCTACCACGAAAAGATGCTGCGCGGGGTGGAGCACGCAGCAGACAACTGGCGGGGCTTTGGCTAATTGCCGACATGATTGGCCCAAGAAACGCTGCACCAACAACACCAATAACAATAACAACAACAACAACAACAGCAGCAGCAGAAGCAAATAAATCCAATCCGCACAATAAAGAGATTTCTTGCTGCTTATATGAGAAGCAAGTTCGTTGCCTAAGTCTTTTGTTTGGCACTGACCATTTCCGGTTCCGCTAGCGCAAAAGCTGCCGCCCCTCTCCTCTCACCTCACCCGGGAGTCTGGACATTAGCCAGCTCACACAGCCCATCTACATGACTGAGACGGGAAGCTGGAGCAGCTACAGACAGTTGTGCATCAAAGAAAAGATGCGACGCCGCCGCATGTAATTCGATACGTTTGTGGACTCGCACTGGCGCCGCTCCCCACCAAAGATGAGCGCGCTTGTGTTTCAACAAATCCCGAAGCAGCACAAAACCAATATCAATTCCAATTCCAATGCCGATGCCGATGCCGATGCCAATGCCAGGGCAGAGCCATTAGAGACTGGACAGGAGAACAACACGAGGAGTTCGCATAATGAAACACGCGCAATGTTGGCAATATAATGGCAATGTTGCTGGCGAGTAGATGCGGCCATCCATCCAAAACTCAATTCCGCACAAAGGCGGCCATTAAAATATAATAATAGCTGCCATAGCTGCAACAGCAACAAAAATAACAACAACAACAGCTACTGTGGCTCAACAATTTGGACATGACACACCGCCTGGCTGGCCCAAAAGGAGCTGCGATGATCGAATCTCATAAAGCCACTCAAGCTGTGGGCGGCAGCGGTGAGTGGGGAGGGGTGAGCGGTGAGCGGTGAGCGGGGTGTTGCGAGGCAGACAGCAAAGCAGCAACGTCAAAGCTAAACAAGAACAATCTATCCAAATGTCCATCTATTGCGTAGATAAAGCTGCACCATCTTCTTCTCTAACTTCTCAGCAAAATCCAGCTCAGCTCTCCCTCGTCGCACTGGCTCCGGCTCTGGCCCAGCTGCTGCGCGTGTGTCTAGGGATTTGTGTGAGGCTTACACTTTGCGCCAACCGCAATAGCCAATGCCAACTACAAACGGCGGCTGATGAAGATTAGCCTGGCTACCC